CCAATCTAATAAAATTCAATCATGCTTATTCGATGGGACTTCACATGATTATTTTATTAATGGTCCTATAATGCGCTTGAAGGTTAAATTAATCTCTTCATTTAAATCTCCTTCCATTCAACATAAGCAACATTTTCTAATTTCCAAGAATTATTTAATTGAGAGTATCCTTTGTTTGATTTTAAAAACTATATAAGCAAGAGCACCGATAAACGTGCACTAAGCTTAACATAATTTTGAAAGCATTAAGGTCCTGAAATCCGGTCACTTTACGTCAGCGTGTGCTCCAAACAATCATGATACATGAATGTTGTATGCAGCGTGTGTTATTCCATGACCATTTCAGAAAACCCACAAATTACTCGCAAAATAAAAGAATTCTCTTAGGAAATTTTCTCAAATTATTTTTCTAGATTTAAATCATCCAAATAGCTGATTTAATTATTAATCTAGATTGCAACAATCATAATAATTATCATTTATGAGGATAATTTGAAATCAAAATAATTTCCATAACGATTATTTGTCTTGATGTTAATTATCCAAAATTAATTAATTCAATTATTAATCTAGATTTTTAATAAAAATCATAATAATTATTAATTAATTTCTTAGGATGATTTAAAATCAAAATAATCCCATAATAACTATCATACTAGTCGCTGAAGACATAATAGCTATTATGCTCATGCAATCATACAAGTTATGCAACAATATGGCACCACCTATTCTATATGGCATGTTATCGCAATAAAGCATGTTATCAATCATATAATTTATACCAATCAATAAAAGCATTAAATAATAAAATCTAATTACTTTAATCCATGGCCTTCCTATTTTAAAGAAAATAAAATAAAATAAAATAATACAACTTTGGAATTCGACTTTCGCCTAGCCCATAGTATCTGTCTCAAGCCCCTTTAGGGTTTCATGGGCCCAAAAGCCCAAAGACCCAATCCTTTGGCGAGAAACCCTAGGACGCGAAAGAGAAACCCTAGCCGTCAGGTCTGCCGCGCCGTCACCCGAAGTCAAATCAAGCTGAAACTCCAGGGGAAGGACCGCCACGTAGAGACGAGTGCACCGCCGCCGGAATCACCCAAAAAGGTGGCCGGACGCTCCCTCACTCTCCCATTCTTTTCCGGAGAGTGGCGGCCACTCTCAGAATCTTGTGGAGGCGCGTGGGGGCGCGTGTAAACTCAGATGGCGGTAAGCCACCCACCGTTGCGTTCGTCTTTCCGTCCTCTTTCCAACCATATATAGATCGCCTCATTCCGAGATCGGGAAGACCTCGAAAAGTCTCCGACAGTTCTGACTGCGCATCTTACTCGCGGTTTCTCGATCTTGAACTTTTACAAAATATTTGAAAAATACACAGAAATTCCAAAAATAAACAAAAACAGCAAGGAGGAAACCTAATCATATGGGATTAGCCTCCTTGTTACAAATCGAGAAATACACGAGAGACCTTAACCATGGATTAAAGCATTTTTACCGATTAAAATTTAAACTTTTATGAAAATGAATTATAAAATACACATGCTAGATTCATACCATAATCCTAGAACCCTAGGTGCCACATTTCAAGAAGCAAAACTAATTACATGAATAGTGAAACTAGATTCACATACCAATGTACAGCCAAGGCTCTGATACCAATTGTAGGAAATCTTGGATTTATGCGGAAGCGGTTTAGGACCTAGTACATTGGTATGCTTACCGAATCATCCTTGTTTCACAATTACCTCTCGGTGCGCAGGTCTCGTGTAGAATCTTCCCTTGTAGGATTCCTCTTCACGAACAGCTCACCTCAGCGCCGCAGCACGAACAACCTCCTTGAAGCTGGACTGTGGCAGATCTTCCAAACTATCTCTCGAGGAGGAAGGGGAAGTGTGTGGGCACTGATTAGATTCAGAGCTTGCCTCTTTCTCACAAAAAAGACCTTGGAGGCTGATGACTTAAGAGGTACTATTTATATGGGTTCCAAGAAACCCTAGCTCATTGGGCTCTAGGTTCCTTGGGCTCTTCTCATACTAATAACCCATTTGGGCTTTAGTAAAAGAGCAAACCCAACACTAATGTGTGGAGTTTATAAAACCTTAGACACTTTCACCCCTTAAGCTAGCTTTTGAGGTGATGTATCTTAAGATTCTTTGTACACGCGAGGGTTAAAATCACAATTCTCATCATATCCCGTAATAAGGTGTTCTGCATAACACTTCTAAAAAAGATATGAGAACTTTATAATATTTATTGATTAAGTTAAAAACATTTTTTTATTTTTTTGGATTCCCATTAGATTAATCTCTTTCATGACGTACAACGTGAAGGTTTTTGCCGTCACTGATCTCAAATTACTTCGCCCGAACTAGAAAACTTTCAACTTCAATGGTCTGTTCCTTAGTCACAATTTGTTTATCAGCTGTGTCACCCCTTAGAGTTAAAAAATATTTTTATATTTTATGAAGAAGTTACACACACACATATATATATATAAGATGAAAAAAAGAAGAAAACAAAATTAATGGAAAAACTTATGATGAAAGATGAGTGGAGGACTGGAGGATCGGTTTTGTGATTGCAAATATTAGCAGCCATGTGGTCTTTGCAATTGCAGTTCAAATATGACTTTCCCTTATAAGACATAGAGACAAGCTTACTACTAAGGTCCAACGAATCTGTTTGAATTGACTACTTATTTCTGTTTGGCAAATACTCGGTCGATTGTTTCTCTGCATTGAATACTACACCTCACAATTTCATAAAGACAAATGTGGTGCCTTAACCCTTTCGAAACTCAAACACATCAGCACAAAGTCAATATATGTAAATACAAGTCTTACGACGATTCCCGATATAATGGTTCCTACTTTTTCCACCATGCTCTTCCGACACCGCAATGAAAGAGAAAACAGAGTAATATCTCCCAATTGTTATTTAAAACTATGGTTTAGAAAAAATTATGTAAATTTTAAACATGTACAATTTAGAAAGAGGATTGAAGTGAATTCCATATTTTTTTTAATACAGTAAAAATTGAACACATAACCTGATATAAATTACCTAAACTCATCACCACTAGACTAGTCCTAGTAGCTTGTGAATTTCATATTTTATTTATTTATTTATTTTAATGAATTTCATATTTTAAACATTACATAATAATGCAAATGTCTCTGTTTAAATACAGATATTCTTTTTTCTTTTTCTTTCTGATAGCCACCTGTATAAGTGCGTATAGTTAATATTTGCACCAGCAATATTATATTGATGTTCTTGTTGAAAAACAAACGTTATCATGAAAAAAGTAGTCCAAATTCATTGAAGCTGCTTTTAGAATAGTATTTATTTATATAATATTATTATAGAAAGAATAGATATTGTATCTATATCATACATAAATTAACATGAAAAGAATATACTTGTAAAATTATATATTTTTTACTTACCAAAAAAAAATATTATATATTTTTTAATAACTTTATTTTATATATATTTATTATAGTCTCTTACCACGGTTGAATATTAATAAAAGATAATTTTATTTTTTTTATATGATATCAAAGCAGTTATTAAATAAATATAATTTTTTCTATATTAAATTACGCACAACAATATAGATGAAAACTGGACCGGATGGTCGGGTCGACCCCCCACCCGGTGAACCGGACAACCGGTCATCTAACTGGTTCAGTTATCACATTGGATCGGTCAAGTACCAGACCTAGTGCAACCCGATCCGACCCGGTCAGTTTTGGTAAAAATCGGTGACCCGGCCAAATTTATTTTAAAAAAAAAAAATTCAAAAAAATTCATAATTGACATATTTGGTGATTTGTTGCTTATTGACTTACATAAGTTATATACCTACAATACTAATATTATCTCAGTTATACACTATACAGAGAATTTTGATTTGATTATATAAAAATATTGTTTATTGAACCTGAAATATCATTATCACAAGCATTATATGTTTGTTTGATTTTTTATTGGACAATAATGTATAATTTATTATTTTTATAGTAAAATATTTAGAATTTGTATTATTTTTTTAGCTATTTAAATATGTTTATAATTTTTTTTAATATAAATTATATATTTATATATGGGGCAGGTTAAGGTTATGTTTACAAACTCTTACAAACTACACTATCTTCTCCCGGGAGAACATAATGTAATTTGTAAAAAATTTCAAAAAAAAATTGTAAACAGATCCTTCCCTTTTATATATAATCACTGGGTTATGTGGTTCAACCAGTGATCCACTGATTGAACCAGTGACCCAATGACTTGATACCTTGATCGAGTCACCGGACATTTTAATAATATTAATATAGATAGAATATCAATTCCGTTCATAATAAATATTAAAAAGAAACTTAATAGATGCATGATTTTATATAGGATCCTTTTTTTCTTATTTTCACTATAGACACAAGACGTGGGAGAAAGAAAAATTATTACACATAATTCAATATCTCCCAGTAGTAGGAGAAATAATTCTCCTAAGAAATTTTTCTCTCCCTTTCTTTATATATTAATATACTAAGAATTATGTACTAAATATATATATACTAAGAACAATATAGATAGAATATCAATTCCTTTCATAATAAATATGAAAAAGAAACTTAATAAATGCACGATTCTTTTTATATTAATTTACTCAGAACAATGTAGAGAGAATATCAATTCCTTTCGTAATCAATATAAAGAATAAACTGAAATAAATACATGAATATATATATAAATTTATTTTTGAAATTTATGTGTCTGTCGGTAGTAGAGATGCCACGAAGACAATTGGAGCCAGATGGCTCCTTCTATAGTTCGTAACGCTTCTTCTTTTCCTCAGCCTTCATGCATTAGCATTCCTCATCCATTTCCCTATTTAAACCCTTCATTGATTCAGCACCCTCTCATCAATCTTCTCTCACACGCAAAAATACACACACTTCTTGTGGATGTGTTTCTTTCTTGTGGCAATAATAACAACCATGGTTATTCTTTCCCAGCAATCTGCATTAAACGAGTTCTTTCTCATCAAGACATGCAAGCCTACCACAAACACGTTCACAGGGATTCCAGAGGTTAACCTCTCAGACCCTGATGCCAAGACTCTCATAGTCAAGGCATGCCAAGAGTTTGGTTTCTTCAAGCTTGTGAACCATGGTGTTCCGTTTGAGTTCATAACCAATTTGGAAAATGAAGCCCTCAAGTTTTTCATGCAAACCCAGTCTCAAAAAGAGAGGATAGGTCCTCGTGACCCTTTTGGCTATGGCAACAAGAGAATTGGCACAAACGGTGATGTGGGTTGGGTTGAATATCTCCTTCTCAACACCAACCCTGATGTCATCTCCCCCATGTCACTTCTCATTTTCCAACAAAACCCAGAAATTTTCAGGTAATAATAATGTTTCAAAACAGAGTCCTCTGGTTTTTTGTTCTGTCTTTTTATTTTCATTTATATTAAATATAAAATTATTAATATAATTGCTCTAAGCTGTTGGATGGAATTAATTGTTTTATATATTGCCCTTATTCTGATAATTAAATATTGTGAATTTTTTTAATATATACATCATTTATTCTTTAAGTCTAATAAAGTAGTGAAATATAAAATTATTAATCATTCACGTAATTTCATCCAATAATTTAAATTTTGTTGGGTTGAATTGATTGCATTATACTATTCCTATTTTGAATGATGCAAAGATAATATTTTTTTAAAATGTGTTCTTTGAAGGTGTGCTGTGGAAGATTATATAGGGGCAGTGAAGAATATGTGCTGTGAAGTGTTGGAATTAATAGCTGATGGGTTGGGGATGGTAGAAAGGAATGTGTTAAGCAGAATGGTAAGGGATGAGAGAAGTGATTCATGCTTCAGGCTTAATCACTACCCAGCATGTAAACAGCATCAAGAATTGAGTGGAGAGAATTTGATAGGGTTTGGGGAGCACACAGACCCACAGATAATATCTGTCCTGAGATCTAACAACACATCAGGACTGCAAATCTGTCTCAGGGATGGGACTTGGGTTTCAATCCCACCAGACCAGACTTCCTTTTTCATCAATGTTGGTGACTCCTTGCAGGTACTCTTAAATTTGGAAAACGTGTAAATTTTATGTCTGTTTTTCTTATAAATATCAAATAGGAACTTTTTTTTTTTGTTAACATTTACCAATATCTATAAAAAAAAACTTAAAGATGACCATTTTAGTTGATGGGTTCGATTTGAATCGATACGAATATGAATATTTTTAATATAACAAATTTTTTATTTACAATCATTCATATTTCAATCAAGAGTGTATCACCAGTCATATTTAATTTAATTTACTGGTCATATTTAATTTAATTTTTAAAAATAATTCATAAACGAATACTTCCCCTACAAATATATAATATGAATAACTATTTATTGTCAAAATTTTAAATACTAACACAATACAGACCTGAACTTTAATATTATTTTTTAAATAATCTCAAATTTATAGATGAAAGTGTGTAATTATTTAATTTAAACGGATCATCAATATGAATATGAATGCCCCTAATATAGATAAGAAAACATATTATTTTTTTTTTGAGTTTTCTCGACGTATTCCTGAATCCTGACCGACCGAGGCATAGAGATGATTGACATATGATAAAATTTATTTCAGTTTATGTGAAATTAATGAAATGATTCTTATCCTTTAAATATCAATTCACAAGAAAATAGTTTTTTTCAAAGAATAAAAATTATTTCTATCTCCGAAAAAAGTCAATATTCTTCCTTATAATCTCCCAGGAATTAATGGGATACTGATCAAAATATCACTGTTCACTAACTTTTTTACCTAAATGTCACGCGAACAGTGTTATTTCCCAATCTGCCACGGGGGCAAGTTCGCTTCTGACACAAGCGACCTCGATTTGATGACGTGTCACATTTTTAGTGGATAACAAGTATTAAATTTAAAAAAAAAATTCAAAAAAAATGAAGTTCGCCTACCATGTAGCGAACTTGGTTAAAATATTGTTGGAACCGAGATCGCCTGTGTCAGAAGCGAACTCTGACACCACCAGGAAGCTGACATATCAACAAACCGAGGTCGCTTGTGTCAGAAGCAAACTTGTTCCGTGGCAGATTGGAAAATAACACTGTTCGTGTGGCATTTAGGTAAAAAAATTGGTAAACAGTAGCACAATGGTCACTGTTCCGGAATTAATATCATTGTTTTTAATTCCAGCATGATATCATCTCTCTCTCTTTACCACTTGCATAGGAGGATATATATCTAGTCATCCATGGTCAAGAAAAATACATCTCAACATTTTCAACAAAGGATATTCACTATTTTCTTTTTGGTGTTTATGATTAAATATCCAAACTGCAGGTGATGACCAATGGGAGTTTTAAAAGTGTAAAGCACAGGGTATTGACCGACACAACCAAGTCAAGAATGTCAATGATCTACTTTGGAGCACCACCTTTGAATGAAAAGATAGCACCTTTACCTTCACTCGTGTCAAAGAAAGAAGGGAGTTTGTACAAAGAATTCACATGGATGGAGTACAAGAATGCTACGTACAAGACTAGGTTGGCGGATGATAGGCTCAGTCTCTTTGAGAAATCTTCTGGTCAATGAGGTGAATGGAAGGGTCACAAATCTCATCCATTTTAGCATATCTTAGGCTTTTTATGTTAGCAAGATCATAATAGGTTCCAAAGAGTTGACTCTACTTGACATATTAAGAAAATGACTAGGTTGTTTATTATCTTCTTCCTTTTAAATGTAACTGTCACTCTACCCTTCTTAAATGTAAATAGCATCGTGTTCTTATGTTGCATATTTAATCAATTTTTGTATCCAAAAAAAAAAAAAAATTCTTTGCCACCCAATTTCGTATGATTTTTTTCAGGTCAACTAGGCAACTACACGTAGGATTCAGGATAAACAACACTAATAATGGCTCATTCCCATCTCCAATATTAATGATTTAAAAATTTATTACGATAAAAATGATTAATATTCTGTGACTTTAGTTTATTAACTGATAATGAAAATTTTAATTCTTGGTGCAAGTGTACTATTTATGTAAATACTAGCTAGTAATAATTACATACGGTATAGTGGTGAAATAGTTGCACTACTTTAGCAAATCTATATCATATATCGATATATTAAATTATGAATATCATTTCATAATTTAATTTTCAATCAACAATGATGTTGCTTACACAAATATCTTCCCTTACGTATACAGCGTAGCATATAAACCTTGTACATCATTCATTTTTACATATAACTCTTCTTATAGAATGAGTCACTGATATGAAATTTAATCCTTATGTTCTGGGCAGAACTGGGATATTAGGTCCAATTAGCAGCTCTAGGCTAGAATCACGATCAAACCCAATGATCACATCCTAAATCCACAGTCGCAAAGACAATGATTGCCGCTAGAGAATTTGTAAGATGGCATGAATGCACACGTTTCTCATCATCATTTGATATATATAAGATAATTTGGATCTGAAAAAAATCAATAATTGAAAATATAAATCGGCGCTATAAAAAGCTATTTGGGCAAGTTGTTAAAATTCGTAAGTCAATTTTTTTAAACAAAAACGAAAGTGTAATTGAGAAGGGATTTCAATGGGAAGTCGTAAAATCACTCAAATTTACTTTCACTCCCACTACTTTCAAAATATTCGTTTGATGTCAATCAAAATCCTTACAAGTAGAAAGTGACCACCATGCATAATTTATCAACTTTTACTGTTTTCTTTGGTTTAGATTGTGGCTTTGGTGCGGATTTTATTCTTAGATACGTCGCACATCTTGTCTTGAGCACTATTGAAGTCATACGTGTCAAAAAAATAACTAAGAACATTTTCAAAGTAAAAACAGATAAAAATGCAACGTAAAATTGTTAGAAATGCAAATTTTTATGTTTTTACTTAGATCCAAAAATTGAAGTGGGTCAACTTTTAATCCATGACCCAGTTTTATTTTAAAACAAAAAAAATCTTATTTTCCCAAATCAGAATGCGTATAGCCTTTTTCCACTTCGACTATCTTCTTCTCTGAGCTATCTAACTCAAATCAAATCTCTTCTTCCAATTTCCTCTTTGAGCCGAACCTTCTTCTTCCACGTCGACCAACTCTTTTAAAAAACGTGACCAACTCTCTAAACTTGGTTGTAGGAGTTATTGAACTTTTTTTGTGTTTTTACACTTATGTATTATATAGTTATGTGACTTAATTATATTTTTTTAAATATGAAGTTGTTCATTGAATTTTGAGTAATGACTTATGTGTTTTTTTTTACATGCATATATACGAAAATATAGCTCTGCTATTGCTTCAAAAAAAATTCCTACAGCAACAAATAAAAAAGCTATGATACGCTAGCGGATCTTGATTTTTTTTTTTTAAACGATCCGTGTCTGCTGCAAAAAAAAACATCTCCAGTGACTGCAGAAAAAACGGACCCATATATATAAATTTGTATCTTGACCTTAAGTAGTAGAAACTTTACGTTCCATATCGTTTCTATGATTTAAATTTACCATCCCCTTTCGTTTCTTTACAGAAACTCGATTTTGACAAAATTGATCTTTACAGTATCAAAATGTTTGAATGCTTGGATGAACCACTAGGGTGTTGACATGCCTTGTAGGAATTATTTTCACCTTAAACAATCTTATAGAAATTGATATAATTTGCATTATAATATATGATTTTCTTATAGAAAATTAAGAGGTTGTAAAGTCTCTTTTGTTATATAGGAGAAGTAAGAGTTATAATTTAGATAAATTTAATAATTAGTTATGATTTTTTGATAACTTAGATTGAAATATTGTTATACTTATTCTTTAAGGTATGGTTTTGTTGATAAATTATTAGAGTCTAACTTATCAAGACCACTTTTGTCCTCTATCCCATCTAGTTTGTTGTTGAAAATTATGACAACGGGGAAGTGCTAGCTTTATATTAAGGCTTTTATTTCCTAACATGAAAGGGTAGAGATTGATGTTGCTGAACGAAAGTGACACTAAAGAGGGCATGTATCACTACACAGATAATGTAATTCAAAGAAAAATATCACATTTATCTCATTTTTATTTGCCCTCATTGTTTGTCAGCTATTGTACAGCAGAGTTAGTAATGTATCTCAAAGGGTAAAGTTTATTGATATAGAGATGCTCTTAGAAGCAAGTAATATCGACCAAAACTTTTGAAGGATAGCCCTGCATATATCTTAGGTAAAACTAAGAAAGGAGGAATGCGTAATGACATTGTAACTCTTAAGAAAAGTAACAACTAAAAAGAGTGATAAACTCACAGTTTATCATGTTTTAAAAGACTAAAAGCACTCTTATATCTAGTCAAAAGCATAAAAATTTAGAGTTATTTGACTAAAAAACATTAGCTTTGAATTATTGACTTGTGTGAGCGATTCTTGTTCGTTTTGTAGGACAACTAAGTTGACTTGGAGCATTAGAGCAATGATTGAGCTAGAAGGAATTAAAATTGTAAATGAGGAGCAATGATTTATATCTTTCGGCCAATTTTTCGTATCCAAAATGATGGATTTGGATCTTGTGTTCTTTATAGGAGTTGTAAATATTTCTTTTATCTTTTCAACGAGACCAAGATCACATCAATTGAACAAGTATAACTTAAGTCAAGTTTGAAAATACAAAATAGTGTTCTTGCTGTTACAATAGGGTGCTTTAGTGCGGTCCAACGCCCTCATCAGGTATCAAAAGTCATATTTTAACTTGCTCAAGGGCGCTTTAGCGCCCATGTGAGACACAGTTAAGACCCATAACATGGTTTTTACCCAAAAGAAGGATACCTCCACATATTTGAGCTATTTTTCAGAGGAATCAAGGGAGGCTCCACAATTTTTTATATAGTTTATATCGTAGAAGCGCTTCTTTCATGCTTTTGAGAGCCGGAGACGAGTCAGAGACAAGATTACGCTATAATCTTTAAAGATTTACCACACTATCACACCAATGGAGTTTGGGAAAACTTTCTTAAATTATTGTGTTCTTGTTTCTACTATGTTAGGCTAGTTTCCTTTATAGTTAGGGTTAAATGAAACCCAATCAAATTTTTATGTTATGAATAATCTTTAATGTCAAATTTCTTTTTTATATCATATGTGTTTATCTTTTCTTCATGTCTTCTATGAGTTTGATGTTGTAGATTAATCTAGAGTGGGTGTATGACAATAGGGATATTGGTACATAAACCATGTGTGATAAATTCATCATTAGTACTTATGATTTTAGAGATAGACATATATAGAAATAATGTAATTTTTATGATTCTTGGATTTAATGCTACTTTATTTGAAAAATAACCGTGGAACTATGATTCTTTAAATAAAGTAAAGAAATAGGATGTCAAGGAATTCAGTCTTAATTAACTCAGGGGAATCAATTGGCGATATGAAAAGGACATTCAATTACGAGTTTTAATTCATAACATAAAGGGATTGAGGGAAATCGAAACTTTAACTCCATTTCTTGATTATCAAGTTACTTGCTCACTATCTTTTTGTTTTATTTTTGAATTCAAATCTCATTCAACTCTTTTGATTGATAGTCCAACGTAAGTATAAATAGCGAATTAGTGATTGAAATTTAATCTTCGTGGAAAAGATATTTTTACTTATTACACTTTATTACTTGTATGACCGGTGCACTTGCCAAGTCCACAACAAAGAGTGATTGATGCAAGATACATTTTTAATGAATAAAGAGTAGTACAAATATATGTATGTGAAATATTTTCTAATGAGAGAAATGAGCCATAACTTTTTTCTCTATTCCTCAGCGTTGATCCTTTATTACGAGATTTATGAGGAGATATATTCTTCTCATATGTTACCTCACGTGGTAGTTAAAACAGCTTCTAGTCTATTAGTTGGTATGTTTAGTGATGATAGTGACACACAATTAGTTTTAGTTAGTTCTAATAGTGACACGTATGATTAGCTTCTAGCTTCTACTGTAACAAACTATAAATATATGAAGTCACTATATAACTTAACACTTTTGCATCTTGAGCTAATGAATACAATATTTTTGCTCTCAGTTCGTAAGATGGTATCAAAGCTCTTTGCGGAGCTCTGATATTCGCCTTTCATCTTCTCTTTTCAATTCTTGATTTCTTGATAATCTCAAGCTCTTCTTGAGATCTGCAATCAACGATAATTGCTACGAATGGTGAATCAGAGTTCCGACTTATCTCACAAACATGCAACCGATGATTCTGCTACGAATCGAGCAGGTGAAGATTCTGTTGTTAATCGAGGTAATTCGAAAGGTTCCAATAATGTATTAGATTTTTCTGATCCAGGAAGTTCATACTACTTGCATGCGAACGAAAATCCTTATTTAGTGTTAGTTTCTTCCCTCATGAATGAGAAGAATTATCACGGTTGGGCAAGAGCCATGAAAATGGCGTTAATCTCCAAGAACAAGCTCTCTTTTGTGAATGGAGTCATCACTGCTCCAGATATGTCAAATCCACATTATGGTGCTTGGGAAAGATGCAATACCATGGTGCTTTCATGGTTGCATCGTTCAATCACAGAGTCAATTTCTTAATCCATTCTATGGATG